CAATATCAGCCCTGAATCACACATTAATGTCACAAGAATAAAGGAAATGATCACTGACTAAAGAAGCTCTTGATTGTTAAAACAAATTCTCCTGGACAGAAACTTTTAAAATGTATCGAAAACAGTACGGAGAATATGCATACTGATGTTAGTACGAAAAGGGTTAAACATTTATTCCAAGTTTGTCATTTTTAGTCCCTTCATTCGTCTCCATAATTATTCCTTTTTGCTTGAGTTTCATGGCCAATAATTATTTCTCTATCACATAAAAGTACAACAAACATTAGCTAAAATTAAAGGAAAAATTTGTACATGCTAGAAAAACTTACTTTCGGATATCACGAGATACTCATAGCTTCCCAATCATCCTCGCAATTTTTTACTATTGAATTATTTTCAATTGGATTTAAAACGTGTTAAACCTTGCCATCATATATCCTTCTTCATATAACCCTTCAGGTCGATATCTTCTCCCTTTGGTGTCCCACTGCAAAAAGGAATCCAGGTTTTTGCCTGCTGCTCGACAAAGGAATACCAACCGTGGAAACAGTTATGGCTACGTTGGTAATTTCTCCTGAAGACTTTTGAAGTATGCCTCGTGTATTTTGGCTACGAACTGTGAGTCATTCTAAGAAATAAAACAGTCGCAAAAGAAATTAATGAGCCATCCAAGTGGTTGTGCCATAAGTGTAACTGCCGCAAATAAAGGTTTTGGGCTTTTCATCATAGTGATGAACGATATTGAAGCAATTTCCAACTGAGCGTCAAAAGTAATCCGGGATTTCTTTGTTTTGCTTTACTTCGCTCTGTGATTGGTCCAGAAAACTCGCACCACTCTCTCAACCAATCAGATGCTAAACTAAAACCAATCATGAATCGGTCGCTTGCCTTTTCCCGCGCTTTAGGCAGTTTGGTTGGTTTTATTTAAAATTCTTATTGGCTCTAAATGGTACCTTCCTCTCTTCTGATCGGCCGTTGTGATTACTTAGGTTTTTGTTTTACGACGCTCTTATCGCGAACAAGAGAGAGAGCAGAGCTTTGGGTCCGCCATTTGAAATGGAGCTCCAGACCTTTGGATTCCGCGCTCCGACACTCTAATCCAAAGGGAATTCTTAGGTGAGTTAGGCTATTAGAAGGTTTAAAATGTGACACGCGTCCTGTATGGAAACCAATCTCCCGCCTAGTTCCAGTCCACGCGGCTTTCCTCAAATAGTTTGACCTTCCTATTCCTATGTTATTTCAAATGTTGTAATTAGTTGTTCGGTTCTTAATGTGATATGCTTGAAACATTTATCGTAGAAATCACTGGCAATGACATGTATAGTTAAGAGTTCGAGTCGTCCAGAATTGAACTCCTTTACGTCCTAAAATTCCTGCTGTTGCGTCGGCTATATCCTGCATACTGCTGGGATTAGCAATGTCGAGAGCGTTGTGCGTGTAAAAAGTATTATAAAAATGATAAAACATACCTTTAATAAATATGTCAGCGCTTGAACTAGTTGTTCTTGTGTTAGGGGAGCGATGTCCATTTTTGGAGGCTGTTTGGGCTGAGGTGGTGTTGGTGTTTGAACAGTCACTTTCCCTGAGGTTTTGAACGCTAATGGAGACATAAGTGATGCTGCTGTGGCACCCCCTTGGTCCAGCTGTGGCTTCTGAGGAGAGTCCTAGCACAGACAAGAAAGAGTATACTGTTTTATACTATAACTTGCTCTGACAGTGGGTAAGATGTAGCAAATTCTCTATATCGATAGGCTACACGAGTGAGCAAGATGGGCCCAGCGTGCCTGGATAAGATTAAAGGAAAAAAACGAACAAACAAACAGAGGACTAGAGGCACACCTTTGCTTGAGAAGCCACTATTGTCTGTGGAGGAACTGTGGGTGTTGCAGGTGCCATGGCCAGGCTTTTTGATTCCACCTTCTCGTTCTGAAATAACTACCGTGAAAGAGAAAACACATAACATTAATTTCCTCAGCATTTTAAAAATTCATTTGATATCATTCACGACTTTAGAGTGTGCATCAAGCATCAGGAATCGAATAACAGCCTATTTCCAAGTGTTTAAAGTCCAGAGATCTTCGTACTTAACCTCATTCTCGTGCCTAAATTTCGTCACCAGATCTCTGAACTGTGAGAACTCGGAAATGGGCGAATCTCTAGCTACTTTGCAGAATTCTCCTTCTAAATTTCAATGTCTGGAGCTACATTTTTTCATTTAGATGCATTGAATATGTTCCGTTTATTTTACACTTTAATTTAAATCTCCTAATTTTACACCCTAGGATCAAATCTTATGAAAAATTCCCTATTTCGTAAACTGGATCAAATCTTATGAAAAATTCCCTATTTCGTAAACTGACAAAACTTGTTGCTGTACCTTTCTTTGTGCACTTGCTTTTCCTTGTTCAGTAACTGCAGAGTCATCCTGACTTCTATTCATGGATCCTGATACAATTAAAAAAAAACACTTGTGCCAACTCTAGCTTCTCTTCTTTTGGAATTAAAACATTGCCGTTAGCAATACTAGCGAAAAATTCCTTTTATTTTTATTGCGGGAAATCATATCGGTAAAAACGCTCTCCTCAACCTTTGATTACCCCCTTTCGAAGTTTGATGGAACCTTGTGATGTTTTGCAATTAAATGTACTTGAACATTTCCCACAAGATATATTAATTTATCTGCTGATTTTAGTTTACTTTTATGGAAATAATTTACAACAAAAGCTCACTTAATCTAGCAGTTTCTTGAATACAATTTTCCACTGTTTACCGGTACTTCTCTGATAGTCAAGTCAAAAGATCCCTCAAAGACATTACTGGGCCTACTGAATTGGTTTTGCACATGGTAAATTCCTTAAAAACGATGTGAAAATCGGTGAAAATATGTAGTTCTGCATCATGCTATGGCACCTTGCATCTCACCTGAAATTACTGGAGCCTTCACATCTGACAGAGGGATACTCTTCACTTTCAGTTTCTTCTTACTTGTCTGTCCCTCCCTTGCTGGTGATACACCATTCTGTTGCCCCTCCCCTTTGGATGGTCCTTTCCCCACAGGGGACAGTGACAAATTTCCTAACAGGTAGGGGACAGGGGTAGAGTGTGCTCTTTGCTTCTTTGGCTGAGTGTCCTGAGTTTGCAATATTTTTTGAAACTGTTCCAGTGGTTGTTGGTTTTGTTGGAGGAATCGCTGTTGATGTTCTCTTTGCTCAGAAGGTATCTGTGGTCTTGGGGCTGCGTTTACTACCTGAGTAACTACTGCACTTGCACCACTTGTCTTGGACTAAAATTTAATGGATATTATTGGGAGACGTTACATGGTAATCACTTGTGGAAGTTGAGGGGTTAAATATGACCATTTGAAGCATAGCTTTTAAATATACCTGATTATTGTATTTCTCCTGGGCCTTGGCAAATAACTGCATGATATCAACTTTTTCCTCTGTGGTATTGCTTGGACTTTCCTTAAAAAAAAAAGAAGGATTTAATTTTCAGCAATAGGTCTGTAATTGGAAGAGAGGGAACCACTAATAAGGATGGTCTAGGAGACCTTTACTAAAAGGCCATAGATGGGAGGGATTGGGGGGGGGGTCCTAAGTGCCCATGACCCCCTTTGTAAGCCTTCTTTTAAGTAAAACATGCCATGGATGTTGACATGACAATCTGGTGAGTACCTTCTGTTTAACACAGTTTGACCCCCTTCCCCCCCTTTGAAAAATCCTAGCTTCACCCCTGTACTGTATATGTAATAAAGAATATAAAACATAGGCCATCAATTTAGGACTGTAACCAATTACACATGTTATGGCTGAGCTCACTTTATGTAATAGGTGAAAATTTTGATAACTACAGGGGTATCAGAAAAAGCCTGTTACTAGCAGCATACTGCAGCCTCTAAGACCTCTTACTGCTGGTTAGCCTACAAGTACCTGGTTCTGATATTTAGGTTTTGCCTTATGGTCCCTTTCCGGGCACACCTACCAATTACACCAGCAGCAACCACTTGTGGAAAATGTTATTGAAACCCCCCATAATTTTCCCTTAGGAAAATATTTCACTGCTACAGCTGATATCTAAAATGTAACAGCTGCTTCAAAACTTAGTGACAGCCCTGTAGATACAAATGATGTGAAAGATGAGAGTTTTGAAGTTAACAACATACCTGTACCTTTGGCTTCTCTTGAACATATGATGGTTTGGGTGAAATGACTGTGGCACTTCCTAATGCATTTTTCTGAGAACTGATCCTGGAATAACAAAAAAAAATTAAATGTTAGCTTGCAAATACATGTTCAGTTTTTTTTTTCTCCATATAGCTACAGTCCTGCTTAGCTACAGTACAAAAATTCTGGCATCCTATCTGATTCACCGTGGAAAATGTATTGTTTAATACAAGGTATTCACCTACAGCTGTAATTTTGGCCATAGAGGTTTTTTTGTTTTATCACAAGCATGGGAACAAGAAAAATTCTGAGTCCCAAATGTGGGACTCAGTACACAAAAAACTGCAAGCTGATGGAGTATTAGTGCTAAGAAGTATAAAATATACATTTCTTTTAACCCTTAAACCCTTAGAGTGACTGTAATCTAATTTCTCCGTACAATATCAGCCCTAAATCAAACATTAAGGTCATGAGAATAAGGGAAATGATCAACAACTAAAGAACTCTTGATTGTTAAACAAATTCTCCTTTTCAGACCCTTAGGAAATGTATAGAGAACAGTATGGAGAATATGCATACTGATGTTAGAAGGTAAAGGGTTAAAATAACATGCAACTCACATAGTCAATAGGCTGGCCAGTCTTTTGCATTCCTCAACATCATAGAACCAAATACCAAATATCTCTTCTAAAAGATAAAGACAATTATTACTAAAATTAGTATTAATTTTGCCAGCTAAAATGTACTAAACATATTTTAAGCCACACCCAGACCTCATTTTAATTCTTGCCTAATGGCTTAGGGACTGTGATGACTCTGAGTCAGGCCCAAAACATATTTACTCCTGCAGAAATAAACTCATCTGTTTTATTATAAGATTTCTGGAGCACACTTCACCTCTCCTTTTTTTAGGATGTCACAGTACACATAGCATACTCACTTGCACTATTCCTGTACAGGAGGAATGGATCTTGAAGTTTAAACTCCATTGTGTTTGTTATTGGCTCCATCATATTTTTCATACTCAATCTATTCATAATAAAAAAGGCACTTGTTGGTGTAGCAGACCTGCAGGAATTAAATAAAAATAAGGTCAGTAACTGAAAAGCATTGAACCTTTTAACTCCTTCAGTTGTAAGATCTCATTTTTTAGTAATTCTCCTTACTATCTGCCGTACAATTCTTAAGACATAAGTTTGGAGAATTTGGTATTGGATTAACTGATTATCTCCTCATTGTTAATTCTCTTTATTCTCCTCACTTGTCTGCTTGAAACTGTATTGAAATTGTAAGGAGAAATTCTGTGTTGGTCACTCACTCATGGGAGTTTAACCCTTTAAACCCAACAAGTGACTAGCATCTAATTTCTCCCTAGAATATCACACCTGAATCCCACATTAACGTAATGAGAATAAAGGAAATGATCATCAACAAAATAAACCTTTGATCAGTAAACAAATTCTCCTTGTCAGCACCTTAGGAAATGTATACAGAACAGTATGGAGAATATGCATACTGATGTTAGGGTGTAAAGGGTTTAGTATGGCTGACTCATGTAAACCAATTTTGCTCACCTATTATAAACAAATAAGGCTCCTTCCACTTCTGTTTTCTCCTAAAATAAAGAAAACCATGATTGAATTCTGAACATCACAACAAGACAAAAAAATAGTTTGTCAAATCCCATGTTGAAACTCCATGTCTTACCAACAAAAATGACTTCACGTGATCACCAAGGTTTGGGAAAATAACATGACAGATACCAAATAAATATTGCAGGATGGATTTGAATTTTTAGAAAGATTTAGAGAAATATTTTTTCACCACTTCAAAAAAGTAGTGAAACTGAAGAATACAGGTTTGGACAATGATGCAAACTAAACTTGAAGATTAAGGCTATCCTTATTGAGGGATATATTGAGGGATATATTCTCTACAACTGCAATACTGCTTAATTGTAACCTTCCCTATTTAGGAAATTTAAAGTTTAACCATTAACTGATAACATTCCAAAATTTGGTTCAAATTCATCCTCAGTTTAATTTCCAGTTCCCTTTTTTTTTATTTCAGCTTTGTTATTGTACAAAAATGATTCTGGAACACAGGAGAATAAATTCAATCAAGGATAAAATCGGATCACAGCACATACCACTACATATCAATAACTGTTATGAAGCTCGTGCACGAGAAGGGATGGAGGAAATAGTTAAATTTTGGAGTTAAATAACATCTTAATGTATGTTGTGTCGATGTTAGATAACACCAGCCGCTAATAAAAGCAGTTAGCTACATGCATATATAAAAAAAATTCTTCTACAATGAATGCTTCATGACACTTTCCACAATCAATTAATTATCAAGCATTTATCACACGATATAACATGTAACTCTCGTCTTGTGCCGATGCATTGAAATCAACGTACGTAGATTTAGACAGTTGGCGATAATTTGCGGGATTACTCTTGTCATCTAAAACAAAGTCCATTTACTACGTGAAAATAAATCAACATTTCAAACTAATCATTTCATCAAAGATTCAATACCATAAATATTTACAAAACGAAGAACCACCGAGAAGGAAACGACGTCAAAAGTGAAAGGGGATATCGACATTTGAATGCACTACGGCATAGAGGGAAGTTATAATGAATTCTGCCTTACCCAGGCTTGTGTATCACCGTTAAACTTGTAAAGTGCCACTTGTGATGCATTATCCAAGATATTCATGGCACACTGATCGCTTTTCTTTATCGCTGTAAGGTTCAACGAATTCGCTACTCTCTCCGCCGCCATTTTGAAGTTTCTGGGTGAAACGTTGTGTAGAATGTCACCAAGTGAACATGATTCGCGTCAGTGCGCAACAGGTTATTGTTTAGTACTTGTGACTTATGGTTTATTTATCTCCGTTTCTCTATTTGAAGACTATTTCCATTCGCTCTGACGAGGCTAACGATCGAAACGTCAGCCTTTAAACTCTTTACGGTGGCCAATTTACGTTTTCAACAAAAAATTATCTATTTTACTTTAGCAATATGCCATAGTATGATTGGAAGAGTCCGGGATGAGTCGTACTAAGCACGAACTAATTTTGGCAAACCTTTGACATTATTTTTTAATAAAATACAATTTTCCATCAGTTTTTTCTATTAAAAACAGCAAAATCCCAAACTCTTCTCTAAACAGTCAAAACTAAGAAGACCGCGGCGGGTTTAAGGAATTCATATAAAAATTTGGAAATTTTCCCAAGCTCGCAAACTGTAAATGGAAATGAGCTAGTGCCCAGGTGTCCTCGTATTTTTTAATTTCGTGTCACTTTGAGCTGGTTATCCACACGAGGTCTAACTCAAACTGCGGTTTTTACGCAAGCAGTTGGCTTACACATTTTATTTTTAATTAAGTATCCTTTCACTGCTGGCTTCCGGCCCACTCGACACCCATGGTTCACAAACATAAATGTTTAAATAAAAGACTCAGTTAAATAAGACCGTGGTTTTGTTGAACAACGGCCAAATTAATTAAAGACGGCTAAATTTCGTTTAAATAACCGGCTTTTTGTGTTTCCTAATCCTAATAAACTGTGGGCGGAGTGGGAAGGAAAAACTGTAGGTAGAGTGGGAATTATGTATTTGTCGAAGTTCGAGACACTTTTTTCACTTTAACTCATCAAGAAAACAGTTGTTAACAACATTGGTGAAAACTACTGAAACTTAAATACACAATTACGAACGAAATGGATAAAAGGAAGAATGAAAAATAAAAAAAGGAAGCTGAGAGCGGGTGGCACATCTTAAATAAAAACAATCTGAGGGTCTTAAGTGTATAAAGGTTACTCTTTCCAAATTAAACACCCTCTGCATATGCGTGGGAATTATTTTATGTGTGATATAATCTCTAATACCCCACAAAACCACTTTTTCTTCACAAATGAATGATATCGGAAAATTTGTTTCTTTTTCGTGTTTGAAATTTGAGGCAATAAAATTGTGTGAACTTATGATGATTTGAAAAATTAAAGACCTCTATAATAATTTTTTATTCTTTAAAAGTAACCAAATTTTGATCGATGTGTTTTTATCGCCAGCGGTAAATGATATTCCGTGACCAACTAAGCATTTTTAAAATGAAACAGGGAGTACCGAGTGTTCCAAGGTCATCTGGTATCTGATCTCAGACATCCCGTCCTCTTTCACTGATAGATCTATAGAGAGAGATCAGCGTTTCAATCAAACCTGTATTTTTCATGTATCAAAAGAAAGGGATTCGTTGATGCCTCGACGATATAACTCACAGACAGCATAAACAAAAAAATGTTTCCACTAACGATGTTTTGACTAGCTTGTACCGTTGTCGTTGATGTTTGGTGAAAACATTTCGTTGTCTGACCTACTCTATTTCTGATTTTATTTTGACGAATGCGGCCGGCCTCAGGGAGAGCTTCAGTGAAATCGTTTGACATCCCAACCGAGATTTACTTTGACGCAGTCAGACAACGCACGCATTTTGAGCTTCAGAAAAAAGGTAACTATGACGACCAAGTTCATTTAGCACGACTATAAGTACTAATTTTTATAAGCTTAAAAACTATATTCTTATCCAAATAATCATACATAATAACACTGACTTACAGTTATAAAATAACCGGTACTGGACACAAAATAACATTAAAATACTGCAGTTGTAATTGGCAGACACTGGTATTTTTTAGCGTACCAACGATAAACAGAAATAAAGACGAGAGCGAAATTTATTAGCAGAGCACATCTTCTTGAAAATATGTTATTTAGGATTTGCTTAGCTTTTTCGGCTGCCTGGTCAGGTGTGTTCCAGAATTTTTTGTCATGATTCATTGTGTCGGTAAATTCAAAAATGTCATCAGTTTACTCGTTGTAGCTCAAATGTATTGGAAAAAATATCTGTAACACATATCCTACAACTATATGTTATTCAACTTTAATAAGCAAATAAACCGACCATGGTTTTTATGAAGATGATAAAGCGCAAAACAACTCGGTGCGTTTACGTGCTGAAGAGCTCTATTGCATCTGATTTATGCGGTACACTTAATGACGCAAACGTCTGGTTTTCTTAATTACCGTAATGCTTGTGACAATGTTTGGCTAAGGATTTATTTTGGTCAAGCAACTTTGTTCGAGCAATTTTGTTCATAGACTGAAGTTGCTATCAGGAATAACGGAGCTGAAACAAGATCGTATGCCGGAAAGGTGTGCGCTTTATCAGTAATGAATATGCGATCGATAAATGTCAAACTCTCATGAAAGGATCTTTGAGTTGAATCTCAGAGGGAACGAATGGTAAAATGCGACACTTGCTGGAACATTTTTTTCAGAATTCGACACTGAGGCTGGTTAAATTTGGCCAAGCAATTCGTTCTAATTGCTTGCGTTTTACTCGGATGAAACTTCAAGGTGCTTTAATTTTGATGACGCGCAATGTTAATTAGGGTTACTATTCTATCTTCTACGTTCTGCTAGTACGTTTATGCGATTCATCAATGTCTACATCGCAATATTTTCAAACGATAGCGATCATACACATACTACGTTGATAAATGACAACGATAACTCTGATATACTTTGGCTCCCTCTTTGATCGAAATCTCTAATCTGAAAGAAAAATAAATTATTCTGGACTATTAGACCCAGGATTCATCAAAGAGTCATTCGCCACCCACAGTTCATCGCCTGCACACAAACACCAGCTGGAAAAGTAGCGTAAGCCCAAGATTAACACTAATCCTCAATACTGGGTGAAGAAAAACATTACGTCGCCGAGGGGGTTTGAAAGCTGTGCTGGCACCAGTCGCGGTCTAAAACCACACGACCCTAGAAACATTCTCGCAAGTGAGCGCCAATCACAAGGGTCCGCTCGCAGGCTAAAAACATTCCTGCATTCCTTATGATCTGTCCGGGGTCATAATTAGATTCAACTAAAACCAGCTGTAGCTGAAACAGTCGATCCCGATTAAACAACCTAGGTGTGCTAACAAAAAAAAACATTATTTGCTTAAATAAAAATGTAAGTGCGTTGGTAATTTCTTATTAGCAGTGACTAAAACAACTGAACCACATTCAATATCGCATCAAGGAACTCATTAATCCAAAGTATTCAATACTGTGATGTTCCAGTCAGTTCTTGGCACTCCTCTTCCTGTTTAACAAATATCGCTTTGAATACTTGAACAGCCATTTAAACCACAAACGCTTTGATAAGCACATTTCAAAGTGAACCGCGTTTCGGTTCAAACGTCACTATTTGGTCAGATTGGAGCCGTCAGAGGTCTGTGTGGCCTCCACAGAACCCTCTCGTGGACCCCTCACAGACTTCTCGCATGCTCGTATCGCCCGAGGCCCATGTTCCCATGAGATCATGCTCGCAAGAGCTTGCAAGAAAATGGCTTCAACATTATCACTATGACAACCAAATTGATCATCTATCATGTGCGATTCTGTCAAATAATTTCCAGAGACCAAGACGACCTTTCAAAACTCGCGTATACAAATAATTTATGATTGTCTTATGCACGTAAAATGCTTTAAGAAAGGGTTGCTCTATAGCATAATGGTAGGAAAAGTGGAAAATTAATTTCACCACCTATTTAAAAGCGGATTTTGTACATACAATTGATTTTTGGCTGTTTTTCAACGGGGTTTGTGAAAGATGAATACAAAGTATACTATATACCAGCATTTATTTGTCTTATTTTCCGCTAACGAAATTTCAAAAGTTTGCATACAGCCTGTCAACAGGCCTTAGCTCAAACTCAATCGAGACGTTTACAATGTGCAGCGCGACCTTGATTTCTCCAGAAAAATGTCCTATTCGTCGGGGTTGAGCCTTTTTTTGAGTCCTGGATCGATTTTGACAAACTCCTTGTTCGATGCTTTGATGATACCTGCTTAAAATTTCAGTCACGCTTGGGTAAAAAATAAAAAATAAAAGCTGTCATTCCTAATGCCATCGAAAAGTCATAAAAATTCAAAGGGAGAACTCAAACTTATGTAAAAAAAAAAAATAGCTCCACTGCGGTTATGTTAATAGCAGATTGACGAAGAACTGAACCAATGACTTTAGCTGATAAAAATGGAGGTGGTACGACGGGCAGGTAAGACGTAACTGGGTTCTAAATGCGAGTCTCAAAAGGATTCACAGTTAAGCGTAAAACGGCCCAAAAATGTAGTCCTAAAAAGGCCAACCGTGCGAAATTTTTCCTCTCTACAATTTGTTATTCTGGGTTGACCGTAGCAGTAAAATTTCCAAAATTTTAACCGTTAGGCGTAAAAGTATCACTTATTGGGACCATCCTAAAATTATGGCTTCTACATGTCTGATAAGCCCGTTTCATGACAGATAAAAAGAGAGAAGTTAGAAAGAAAAGAAGAGTTGAAATTAAGCGACTATAAGCTTCTATTGTTCTTCGACACAGATAGTTTTCCAAGCTTTCGAAAAAGCGAAGTAAATCAGTCAAAATCCGGGAGTTTTATAGGGGAAAAACAACGACAAAAACAAAATAAGTCGCACGACGGAACTAATTGCAAAGTAAACGCTGTTATCTAGAAAGACGATAAAAGTGCACAGCCTGAGTTGATGACTCTAAACGCACACGCGTACAGCCAAAAAGCAATTAAAATCTCCTTCAATGGCAAGCATCTTAGAGACGTACAGGCTCTGTTTTCTTTTTGCATATCGTTATTCTTGTTTATTTGTTATACAATCTGACCTTGAAGTTCATTTTGAAGGCATGTTCTGAGTAAGTTGTTTGCCATCGGAAAAGATCCCTTTAAAAATTTTTCGTTCGCCTTGAAGATGAAAATTATGGAAAGACACATTCATTAATTAGTAATTAGACCCAACACCTGCCAGTAAAGATACTAATTAAGCGAGCTCTTTCAATATTTATGGTGGCAGCTCTCAATGAATTCAACCATCACATATCTTCTCTTTTTATCTTATTGCAAAACGCTTGAGTCTTAACCCCATTAGACATATCAAATATTTTGTGAATTGAAAGTAATCGAAACGGTCTACCACCGAAAAATGAAGCATGCTTTTATTAAATTAACAAGGTTATCGCTGAAAAAAATACGTCAACGATTATCTTAGCGAGTGTACGAAACCTAGCCGTTAAGAAGCTACAGCCTCCTCGAATAACATGATCATAATAATAATAATAGCCAGAATAATAATAATAATAATAATGATAGTAATATTAATAATAATAATGATAGTAATAATAATAATAATAATGATAATTTTACATACACACACGTAATACGGATATTTTCAAGTAATTGGCGAATTTGATTCAGAATTGCTTACGCTTTGCTTTTTTTCGCTCTGTGATTGGTCTTGAGTTGACACTGTATCCGGAAAAAAAACTAGACTTAATTTCCGTTTTTTCCTCAAGTCCAGTCTTCGCTCCTTCTGTTCAGGGGAAGCGTTGGCTCATTTCCCTTACAGGTTCTCATATAATCGAGCCTAAGATTAGAACCCATGCCAAGCCGTTGACGGCAGAGCACTCTCACAAGATGCGTCGTATTCTCTATTCGCGGGTAACAAGCATCATTTGACCAAATTACTGTTTTAAATGGTTTAACGTTCAGTATCAATATAATTGATAGGGCCTGTGCACAGCCTTTGCACAGCGGGATACTTTCAAAACAATTTATTGAAGAAAGCAAATGCTGGTCTAAATTTCGCCGATGATTCCAACAAATTTGATGAGCCACTTAGGGTTTAGAGTTAGACGACGTGTATAGTTGGAGTAAATCTCTTCATTCTAATAACAACCAAAATTTATTCGCCCGTGGCATTCTTAAAACCAAGCTTTTGAAACAAAGATTTTGAAATTTTGTCTCAAGGGTAGAACAATTAAGTTCCGCGTGAATACTCGAACCCCAAGTAAGTTTGACTTTAAAATCGTCTGCTAAACCAAATAAGTTTCGAAGAAAGTCTATCTACATGGTTCAATTCAAATCTGACAGCCTTCCAGCTTAATAATAGAATTAGCGATGAATAACGTTTGGAGATGCAACAAAAGATATGATAAATTTTGAGCTCAGCTATCGTATAAAGAAAGATATTCTAAGTTAAAAGAGAGTTTATGTTTACTAAAGTTATGTCAAATCATGTTCTGATTTGATTGTGACCCACAAAAATAACTTCTTTACACGTACACCCCGGTGAAATTCGAAAATCGATCTTTGATAGGCTCTCGGTACAATTGCAGAAAAAATTGTAAATATTTGTCGCAAAAATCCAACACTAAAATGCCTCAGCAATGTCTATTATTCTTGACTTTAAAAGAACCGAAAGGAAAGGAAAAGTGATTGTTAAGGCAATAACAGCAGGTGAAAAAAGGGACAAAGAGAAAACCACAGAAAAAATTGTCATACAGAGTAGGGATTGAAAGGTTCCCTTTTAGTCATAGGGTTTAAAAATAATTTAATACACACTTCGCACCGCATGCTCCTCATGTTGCCTCTCCCCAGGGCACCGGAACCCCTTCCCACGACCACGCCCGGCTTTTCTGATCCAATTCATCCCAAACTTTTTGCTATTGTTATTTATGTCTTCATTTACTATTACACTGGAGACGACACAAAAAACGATCGATACAATGTCCTAAACTACAATACAAAACAATGACGCCAATCAAGGTGTTTGTTTCTCTGTCGGTGTAGGATCTGACTGCGAAATCACATCTTTGTCCCACGCGCTTGGAAAACGTTTTGCACCTTTGTTGGTAACAATGGCTGTTTAGAATAGCTAGGTCAAGGTGGTATACAATATGAACCCCCTCGTAGACAAGTGCACTGCGATAGAAGCCTCTGGTCCTCTTGCATACTCCACGCAATCTTGATTTCGGTATATACGAAAATAACTTAAAAGACGACGTTAGCCAGCCGTGATCGTCAGAGAGGGAGCAATAGAACGGGCAGAACTGGCTAGTTTGGGTTATTAATTCTCGCATAACCTTTATTTTGTATAAAGTACGTTGGTTTCAACTGCCTTAGCTTTCCCATTTCAAGTTCCTCAGGAAATTGATGCTTTACAGGTGAGTTCCTACCATAACCCCATCGAAGAAGTGCCGGCACTAGTTAGTGGTTTCATGTTAAGATAAAAATGAAAAATTTAATGAGTATGCAGCGACTAGTTAGTGGTTTCAGTTATGCGGTTACTTGATTTCCATTATTAATTAGAAGCGACGATATATTTCTCCACTTCTATTTTTCCTGGAATTCATGACAGCTCAATAAAGGTTATCGCACAGAATTTAAGTGTTTCTCTCCATCCGCTTTTCTCTCTGTCCAATTAGAAATGTGGAAATTCCAAACGCGAACAGAAAGCTGACCACTTCTATAGAATGCTCTGTGAACGGCATGGCACTGATGTAGGCAATTATTAAATGTATTTGGTTTTATCCACTGAGTTGATAATGTAAACTGGCCGCAGTAGAGAGCGTCAACCCAAGTCTCCTTAGCGTTGTAAGCTAATCCACTCGAAAGCATAATAATAAGGAAATCAAACGTGTAATGGTTTCAGTATGAAAAGGGTAATCTAAGAAAAGGGTAAATCAGTTGTTCACAGAATTACAGGCACGAGTTTTGCACGCCTTTCTCTTACTGGCAATGACACTTTTCCTCTTAAATTCTCGGGTATCCCTCATTTTGTTCCTTTATTGTAGACGGCACCTGCAAACTATTTACATCCACTGGACTGCATGAGTGATTTGAGAAATTCACGGCGAATGAACTTGGCGGGAGATCCAAGAAGTTCTACCGCCTCTTTAAATTAATTTTTCTACAAATTATTTCTTAAAGGTATTGTGAATTCCCCCTGATGAGAATGTTCGTGACTTTTGTCGTTTTGGAGAGCTGTTGAGCTCTCGCCTGCCCCTTAGGCCCACCTTCTTCCGAGTGGTCTGAATCTCAGCCGATTAGCTAATTGAGAATTTGATTCATTATTTCTTTGGTTATTTGTAATGGCCGTTAAGCTGATGATTGACGCCAATGCTAGTGAGTGCAGGCTTTTAATAAATGGAGATCTTATTGCAAGTTTCGACGGGAAAGGAGTAGGAGGTATTTTTCCCAAGGAGGTGAAATTACCCTAATTACAGGAAGGTGATCGTTTCAATGTGAGATAAAATCTTTTATCGAGTGTTGGCGTTAGGGTCTGCCAAAGAAAAGCGTTTCAACAAATGCTCCTGTGTGCGCCCACAAGGAGAGGAAAAAAAATTGAAACGATTGGTGGCATGTTGTTCATCTGGTGCAAACGCGTATTGCATGCATAAGTCTGTATGCATATGACAGAACTCAAAACAGCGGCGCGTTTTATTTCTAAGCATGAGAAATGATAAAAAAAAAAACCGTGTCTGTTTAGACTTCATGCCATAATTTATTCAGGAATTAACCTGAACTGCAGTGTAGGTACAGCACGTGCCATTTGATTCACCCTGGATCTTGAGATGTTTTTAAAAGATATATAATCCTTATCTTCCTCCTATGATTTCGAGATTTTCAAGGCCTGAATATGAAAAAGCCTTCCGGTCCCTTGTTACTTCCGTGTAGGTTTTTTTTTTACATGTGGGTGGTTCAATCTTATGCGCATGCGTTCCCACAATTAATTTGCAGCTGCTTGGAAACCTTTAGAATTTTTATCATTCACGATTGAAATAACGATTCAAAAGAATATTGAACGCCACAGCGGTAAATGCTTTTTTTACCTCCTAGAATTTCATAGAAAAATTCTAGCGGACAATCTATAAATGCTCTTGAAATGAGGAATAAAAGTAAGCCGCTAAGATATTTCAATTTCGTTTACTTCTTTTATTGCGTTCTCAGACAACCCACGCTTAAGTCATATGATACGGTGATGTAATAACTTATTTCCCAGTGAATTAATTTTTTTTATCCCAGTGACATCGGTTTGTGGTCATCAAATTATCGTATTAATGCGACTTTAGTGAAGAGACATGGTCTCCAACGGTCCTATGTGTTAAATTTTGGCGAAAGAAAGGTCGGAAAACGTATTCTATTATGTTTAACTAATCATTTTTTCACGATGCAGTTTTCGATGAAGCCCTCGAGGGGCACGGCTAGAGGTAACAGAGGGTTGTATATGTTGTCACGGAAACTGTTGTTCGGGTTAATCGTAGCGTGACAGCGTCACGCAAAGTTGTACTTTCTGGTAATGAAGTGCCCGTATGCACTTCACTCTGGCGTTTCACGCGGATAAAGTGTACTCGTAGGACATAAATACGGAATTAATGATGTGTATTGGAAATTGTTGACATGATTGTGAAACTACTTTGTCCAAGCTAAATGTTTAAGAAGCAGGCTAATTTAAGCAACCATAATGGAACAAAACGGTGAGTATTTCTAGCGAGTTGTTTTGAGTCGGCCGGGCAGTGAAAACAGCCAACAGCAGCACGATACGAGTTCGGCACTTGATGCTTTTTCCGAGTTTACTATACCGGCGGTGCATATGGAACATACTAACTCCTAACTGAGTGTTTTTATTGAACTGTTCCAGGCTATCCAAGAACCAATTTTACCCAAGGTTCAAAGATATTCTGGCCGAACGGGACAGACCTTATGCAGACGAGAGCACGGCTGAACGGACACGGAGGGAAATATGCGAAATCTGTAGCTGCCAAACGACAGAAAAAATCTGGAAACACTGTTCGGCCGAAGAGAGCACTTCTGTGTCTCTCTCTCGGCAATCCAATTCGAAGTGCTGCCATAAATCTCGTGGAATGGAAATATCCTTTTAAATAGCAGTGGTTAACCTTTTAGAGAATATTTCTCGCGCGAATTTGGGTTTTGCGGTAGGGGTGTTTGGCTTCTCGTGGTCGTGCAGTTATTATCCTGTAGATTTTCTGTTGCCTAGTTTAAGGTGTTATTGGAACGAACTTCAAACGTATTCCTTGACTCTTGACTTAAGCCTTTCGATGTAATGATTCTGATCACAATTTTCGCAAATTGTGCCGCTCTCGCCGCGTATGAGCCTCTTCCAGAGAAAGATAGCAGTGAAATCAACGACAACCTGGTAAGTCTTTTTGATTACTTGTAAACGCGGTGTGCGGGTTTTCTATAATTTTCTGACATGGATGAATATTCATGCTGTGAAATGTGGTTGCGGCTTTTATACATCGTTGAAAATATCATCTGTTTTTGGAAGAGCTTAGAGCATGCGATCTTAGAGATCAAAGCACCAGTTAAAAAAATTATAATTTTTGCACAAATGTAAACGAGCGAAGTGCCACGCGAAAAATAAAAATATTCATGCGATTTATTGCTCTGTATACGCTTTACCTTGTTTTAGTTTCGAATGAATTTGTTATTGGCTCAACAACCTGCTAAAAGCCTAAATCTTTGGCAAAACGAGACTTTACGCGGTCCGAATTTTGTGTTTATACCATTGACAGTATTTACATGTATGGGCTTCGGTCAGCGATAACATTCTAGAACAGATGATCGGTGATCGAGGTGTCAGTAATTGTCTTTAGTAAAGTTTGTATTTCGAGCACCAGATACCTTTGTTTAGGTACAGAGAAATTAGATACAACTGCAGGCGTCGAGCGTAAATAGTGTGTGCATTTTTGCTAAGGTGAATATTTACTGTTTTGGAAGGGAAAAAAACCCAGACAACTCGCGTCGTCAGATGCGATTCTGCTATCACGAACATACAGTATGTAAGCTGACCTGAAAAATAGAATCGCGGTTTTATAATTTTTATGAAGGTTAATTCATTCGATACAAAGGTAGAAGTTGATCGTGTTTCTCGCCAATTAAAGTTTAATGCTAGTCAAAGCAATTCGTTCGTGTAATCCGCCGAAATCGCCGTTGTCAATTTCACAGTCGTAAAATTGCGAAAAATGGATGACTCAAATGTAAACAGAACCCACCATGCTCCAGTAGGCTTCAGTTTTCCAGCTTTCAGTTACATCGACTTGACCTTTGCGAATAAGTACTTGTTTATTCATTGAAACTCAAATCGCTTCGGGTTTGCGTCTGTTCTATTTGCATCTCTTTATAGCGTTTGATCGGATCGGAAGAACTTTAGTTCTTAAAAATCGACTTCTTTCGAAAATAACTTTTTATTTGTTATTTCAAAAACTGGTTGATTGCACCGATGAAAAGATACAAATCAGTGAATTTGAGTGAGTTTAATTTCAGAGTACATTCTTATTGCTTGTGACATGCACAAAATACCAAACGTCTGTTATATAATCGCCATTTATCTCGGTATATATATTGAATTAGCGAAGGAAAAGTTCTGATTGCTCAACGTGAAAACTTTTTAATGAGGCAGTTGACATTTTTAGAACCCTGAGTTATTTAATGGTTGAATGGTGAATATCGTTGTTGATTCTTGCCAGTTAGCCGTCAGATTTATTCGTATTCTCAGAGTTTTACATATGTGTAGTCTGTGCATTTTGACGCCGATATATTCCGGTTCTTTTGTCCAAAGGTAAACACTCAGGTTTAAATAAATTCAGAAAAGAGGTGAAAATAATGAAATGTCGGATTTAGCGCAAAAAATAAAATGCTTATTCATAACTTTTTGATCTTGGTTACCTTTTCCAAAACGGTTATTGGCAAAAAACATTTTTTTCAAGGAAATATTGAAAATCCAGAACTGAGATTTACAGGTGACACAGTCAAAATCAAATTAAAAATAAAAACCTCAGTGAAGATATACATTGTATGTTTCAAAGTAATTAAAAATAAAATAGCTGGCTTAGATTTATATAGAATTGAGATGTATTTTGATCTTTCATGCACAGAGATTTCATATTTTACAATGTTAATCCATGTTGCAGCAAGCAGTCTGTTGGAAATTGATTCTCTTCAGTGAATGAAAACTGTTTCAGATCTTACTTTTGCCATATAAGTTGTCCTGATGATTATGCGGTCTACCCAGTTAAGATCTTTTGTAGCTCTCTGCATATGTAATTAGCTCTAAATATGGCTCTTCAAAGCAGAAGCGTGTAGTGTGCTTTAGATAAAGTTTATTTTTCTGCTAGAGAGCTTCTTCAGTCTCCTTGAAAGGCTAATTGTGTTACCAAGCTTCAATGTGATGGCTGCTGCAAAATTAAAATTTTTTTTTCCACAGCTTTGCTTTAATTTTGAATCAATTCTATACTAAGATTTTTTACATATAAATTACATGTTTTGTATGTTCCTATGACTTTGGTGTGGAGCTTAAAAATACTCTCCCAGTCGAGGTGACTGTCTCTTGTTTGATACCAGTAGTTTGATTGGTTGAAAAGTTGTCTACATAATTTTCACAAGACTGTCACTCCAATTAGTTAAAAAAAATTTCAGAATAATTATGTAGCCCTTTGTTCTGACTTGAGAATATCCTTGACATGTGCTGGCTAATGTAAAAATTTGGAGCTTCTTTTTTCTTGATATGTATTTCAGTTTTGTGAGCCCAATTAAATGTGGTGAAATTCATTCAATTTGAACAGAATGGTATATAATCTAAAATGATTGGGACTCACAATGTGTAAACTTGACTATTTATGTCAGAAGAGAAAGAACCTTGATTTGTTTTTAAATTAATGCAGTTCAAAATTTGCAAAGAATTTTTAAAATGTTCTTCTCACATCAACCCAGGTCCCAACAGTATCACCCCTTAAATCAAATGTTACGGTCATGAAAATAAAGGAAATAATCGCAAGGTCAAGAATCTCTTGATTATTAAGCAAATTCTCCCTGTAAGTACCATGGGCAACATATAGAAAACAGTATAGAGAACTTGCAGGCTTATATAACGAGGGGGGCATTGGGGTCTATATTTGGAGGGGGGATTGGGGTCTATATTGGGAGGGGGGCATTGGGGTCTATATTTGGAGGGGGGAATTGGGGTCTATATTGGGATGGGGCCATTAGGGTCTATTAAAAACGGTAAAACTGTGGAAAAAATCATCCAAAACCTTAAAACTGCAAAAGAATTCAATCGAAATTGAAGACTGCATGCGAAACTGTCAAAACCAATAAATTTTCTCATCCTAGTTATCAAAACTGTAATTGATCCAATTCAGTGGTAGATCATACTGAGATCAGTGGAAGTGCATAATTGCCGCTCAGATTGAAGAGGAACGGGACCACAAATAGGAAAAAAAATGAAAATCACATCAGATACCAAATCCAAAAAGCTATTAGTACTTTCAATGAAAACTGTAAACCAAATTCCAAAAAATGGAAAATCTGCAGACCAAAATAAACACCAAAACCGAAAAACAGAAGGTTTTAGGCAGAAATATTCAATAAACTGATCTTAATAAGATAAAACTGAACATGCCAAAGGTCAGAGTATAAAGGTTAACCCTTTAACTCCCAAGATCTCATTAGTAATTCTCCTTACAGTCTGCTATATAGTTCTTGTGATGTTTGTTTGGAGAATTTTGTATTCGATCAACTAATAACCCCCTAATCAATATTTTTCTTTATTCTCATCACTTATTTGCTTGATATTGTATTGATATTGTAAGGAGAAATTCTGTCTTGGTCACTCATGGGAGTTAAAAGGTTAAGGAAGCTTGACTAACCAGATGTCTAATACTTGTTTACAGGAAGTTGCAGAGTATGTGTTTTTGGCAGTTTTCACAATGGAAGCTGTGCTGAAGATAATAGCTTATGGATTTCTTTTCCACCCTGGAGCATATCTTCGTAATGGATGGAATATTTTAGATTTTGTAATTGTTGTAGTAGGGTAAGTATGATGCAATTATCTTTTATCCCCTTAAAAGTGATAAGCATGTAATTTCTCACAACATGAAGGTCACAAGAATTATGGAAATGGTTGTGAGGTCAAGAAGGGCTTGATTATTAATCAAATTCACTCCGTAATTACTATAGGAAATGTACACAGAATGATATGGAGAATTTGCAAACTGATGATCGGGTGTAAAGGGTTTTGTTTTGTGAGTGTATGCTTTCTTTCTAGAGAGTGATGAGTGACACGAATTGGTAATAATATTTTTTACATTTTGAAAGTGGCATAAAAAGAAAGAGGCATAGCTAGGTTTTTTTTTTTTGGGGGGGGGGGTTGGTTATTGATTTCTGAACACCTTAGTTACGTAAAGTAGTTTTTACCACTGATGTTCCTTTAGTATTAGCAGGGTTGTTTTTGCATGATGCTAAGGTATAAAAAATGGAGTATTTAGCATTTAAGAAAGTTTTTTTTGCCATACAGATTTGTCAGATTCACATCTTCACGAGCACAAATTCATGTTGTTTAAAGAAGGTTTCACTTTTACCTTAACAGTACATTTTTTTGAAAATTTCTCTTCTCAGAATAGCAACTATTTTAGTAAAAGCATTTCTGAGTTCAGGAAGTTTTGATGTGAAAGCTTTGAGGGCCTTCAGAGTCCTGCGACCCCTTCGACTGGTGTCTGGTGTTCCAAGTAAGTATTAACCCTTTCATTCCCATGAGTGACCAAGACAGAATTTCTCCTTACAATATCAAAACAATATCAAGCAGACAAGTGACGAGAATAAAGAAAAATATCAATTAGTGGATTATAAGATGATTCAATGTCAAATTCTCCAAACTTACATTACAAGAACTGTAAGGAGAATTACTAATGAGATCTTCTGAGTTAAAGAGTTAAGTATGCTTCATTACAATAATATGATAAGCTAAATTATATAACGTGCATTTAATTGGCTCTTGCCTATGATCTATTGGAGGACAGATGCAAAGCTGAAGTGACTTAAAACAAAATTGTATTTTTTAAGCTTATAAAACAAACAGATGCTGATCAAATTCAGGTTAAGATTCCTCTACCAGAAAGATGAACCCTCTAAAAAATTTGCCTTTCTCCCAATGTGTAGCTTCTTAGGTTAACCCTGTAAACCCTAAGAGTGATTAGCATCTAAATTCTCCTTACAACATCACCCCTGAATCACACACTAAGGTCATGAGAATAAAGGAAATGATCACCAATGAAAGAAGCTTTTGATTGGTGAATAAATTCTCCTTGCCAACCCTTTAGGAAATATATGAAGAGCTGTATGGAGAATATGCATACTGATTTTGGATTGAATCTTTTTGAAGGCTGTTTTTTTTTTTAGGCTTCCTTTATGCATTGGCTTAAATTGTCTTAATTGCAGAATACCTGCAAGGATTGTTGCTTTACTTAACCCTTTAACTCCTAAGATCTTATTAGTAATTCTCCTTACTATCTGCAAACAGTTCTCATTATGTTAGTTTGGAGAATTTGGTATTGCATCAATTAGTAATCTCATAATTGATATTTTTCTTTTTTCTCATCACTTGTCTGCATGATATTGTATAGATATAGTAAGGAGAAATTCTGTGTTGGTCACTTAGGGGAGTTAAAAGGTTAAGTAATTCTTGTGTAAGAATTTTTATAGTATTTAATAGATTTAATAATAATAGATATGATTTTTTAATAAGTGTTTATTTTTATATTTTTTTGTTGCAGGTTTACAAGTTGTATTAAATTCTATTATCAAGGCACTGATACCACTCTTCCACATTGCCTTGCTGGTAGTTTTTGTTGTGATAATTTATGCAATTATTGGTGTGGAATTGTTTATGGGTCGGCTTCACAAGACATGCTATAATAATGTGACAGGTAATTGTTCTTTAAAATACATTTATTTTAAAGCAGGTTTCAGCGGAGTGTGGCAAAAATAATCCAGGATTGCTTTGGTTTTGCTTTACTTTGCTATGTGATTGGTCTAGAAAAGTTGTGCCATTGACTCTCTCAACCAATCAGATGCAAACCTTATGTTAATCACAACTTGGTCATGCACATTTTGCTGTGCTTTATTTCAAATGTTTATTGGTTATATTAACCCAGAATGCAATACAGTAAAGTATAGTTAGTTTCAGTGGGGTGATGAAGGACAAGATGTTTCTCATTTTTGCCAGGATGTAATGCTTTTGCACAGTTTAATTAGTTTTCAATTGATTTCACTGTTACCATCTATATTGTACACTCCTGGGAATATTGGCATAATTTTTTTTGCCAAAGAACACTAGACAGTGGACTGTTTAGGGAGTTAACCTAGATCTCTACGTCCAGCATTTGACACTCTAAGCATCAGGCCCCTTCAAAATGGAAGACCACATGCGAATGAAAAATGCATGATAGGAATCGAAAGAAAAGTAAATCCTAGAATCATCTGCTCTTCCATTTCTGACACCAGGTGAAGAATCCTTTGAGGAACCTCACCCCTGTAGTTCTGGAAGTTCAGGATTTCAGTGCGATAAGGATGCAGGTCAGGTGTGTGAGGCAGGCTGGAAAGGACCCAATCACGGAATTACAAATTTTGATAATATTGGCTTGGCCTGTATGACTGTGTTCCAGTGTATTACGCTTGAGGGTTGGACTGATGTATTATACTGGGTGAGTTATTGGTCTGTTCATGTATCATACCAGTGTCCTAACAGAATTGAACCCCTCTTTATTTGGAATACGTTGTAGTTTAAAATGACTTTCAGATAAAAAAAATTATGCTGTGGGCTCAGAGGAAAGTTTGTTTCTAACCTGGTAGAATTCACTTCAGCCTTGAATCATTATCAACTACAACACAGGCAAGTTCAGGTGATCGAGAATGTATACGATTAATGAATCAGGGTCTGAAATTGCGAACAGCTGGTCGATCATGCGATTGAATAACGATTGTTGGAGATCAGCATTTTAATGCTAATCGACACCACGCGACTGACTTAGAGTCTTGTCAGTGATGTTCATGCGAGCCAGCGTTCAGGGAACGCAACTTTCGTCATTTTATTTCGTTGCATCGTTATACACTCAATGGTGACCGTTTGCCAGTAGGAGTCTATTTTAATCAAAAGAACGTTGTAAGAATTTCAGCCATCGTATTTGGTTGATTGGCGAAAATTGTACGAATTGAATTTCTCGGCGGCGACCAACTTCTTCCATATGGCGAATTGAGCAAAATTGATTAATCGCCACTGGGTGTTAGAGCAAAAATTCGAAAAGTTTATTTCGGATCCTGATAATTATGATTGTGTGTTTTGCAGATAAATGATGCAGTAGGGAACTCTTGGCCGTGGGTATACTTTGTTACTCTGATCATTTGGGGATCTTTCTTCGTTCTCAACTTAGTTCTTGGTGTACTAAGTGGGTAAGTAACATTGTTTTTTTCTGTTTGCTTGTTTGTTCTTTCAAATGGCAGGTAGGCATAATCAAACGTATATTCTCTTTTAATGTGCTTGTGACAAAATTAGTATGTAGTGTTTTTCATGTTCAGACGAGAGCAGGACAGAGAGAAAATGTGAAATGTGAAATGTCTTCTGTAGTGGATGTGTAGCTTAACCTTCGTACTGTCAATTACATGCGGAACCTCTGACCATTGAATTATTTTTTAACGACTTCAAACTAATGACGTTGAATGTTTTCTGAATACAGAGAATTTGCCAAGGAAAAGGCGAGAGCTCAGAAGAGTGGTGAATTCCAAAAGTTTAGAGAAAAGCAACAAGTTGAAGATGCTTACAATGGCTACCTTGACTGGATTACACAGGCTGGTACGTGACACGTTGAAAAAAAAAGTTGTATTGGTCATTTTAATCTTCGGGAAAAGGACTGACAGTTGCAAATCAAAGTAAATTTGTTCATTAACGAAATTTGGAAAGATGTGAAAGTCAACTGATCCAGATTTTGAGACTTATTTCGCTGTGTCTCTTTAAAGGGGACTTTTCCATTCAGTTTTTTGGCTATCGACAAACCACTATAAGCAAGATTTTCCAAGGACCATTGCATTATATTTCACCTTAATCACTAAGGCAATTAGTGCAAATAGTTTTGGCAGCAGAAACAAGTAGTTTTTTTTTATCTGATGACGTTTATTTAGGAAAAATTGCATCTTGCTGTCTTGTACGTAACCTTAATCGCAACAAAACTGCGAGAAAAATAGGAATCGATACGGATTTTGGACTGCAGGTCACTTGGTAAAGATGACGGAAGTATAGTGTAGTCAGCAGACACATGTACACACCTCGAACACAGTGAATTTCTATATTGTTTCTTTAAACAGAGGACATTGAAGGCGACAGTGAAAGTGAAAGTGGTGATGAGTCAAAAGCTTCCAAGAAGTCCTGTAAGTATTGCAACGAATGTGAGAGTCGTCAACGTCTAGATCGCGGTATCACATTTCTTTCAGAAAAATGTAGAGTGAATCGGTGATAATAAATACCTTAAGGTTATCTTTTGATAGGACGTGTCATTCATCGGTCTCTTACAGTATGGAATGCGACGTGAGGTAGTGAATCTGAGAAAGTATGTAGCGGTGCCTTGCGTGCTGTTATGCGTGCTGTAATGCGTGATGCGAAAGCGAACGCGATACGAAAACTTCGTATTGTGAAAGGACTGTAAAGTACGACTACTTGTTTATGGTTCATGAATTTAGACTTAATGGTGCAATTGGACGCTTGTGATTTGAAGCTTTATTACCGTAGCAAAATTTGAAGGTCAGAATTGGCAAAGAAAATTTCGGCCAGAAAGAGTGAGTTAAAGAAGTGTGTATGGTTGTAAGTATTCTGTACGGTTTTAATATTTTTTTTTCCAAAGCATCAAGACAATCCAGAACCGAAGACATCGAAATGATCGATAGAAATGAGAGACAAGACAGTATCTCCCAACATGATGCGCACCACCATGGTTGGTGTCACAACGAGAAGTAAGGAGACTGTATCAATAATAAACCTTCACCTCCCCTTCGCCCTTACCAAGCGTTTAGCCTCGACTGAATGCACCAGACCCAGTTTCCCCGGCCTGTGTTCAAACTTATCGAAGGCAGGCTATGGGAGTGCCTTTCGATTGAGTAATGTGTCCTTTCCTTCCCGTCTTACTTTGCAACCTCTCCTCTCTTATCTCCCATCGTCTTCATTTTTCTCTGTTATCAACTTCTTCTGTGTTGTTTCGTTTTGACAGGAAAGTTTTAAAAAAATGGCATCACCGCGCTAGACGGGAGCTGCGTAAAGCAGTAAAAACACAAGCTTTCTACTGGATCGTCATAGTTGTTGTATTTTTAAATTCATTGACGCTAGCATTGGAACATTATGATCAACCTGACTTTTTAACCCAATTTTTAGGTAAGCTGTTTTATTTGTGTTTGTTTGTTTTTTATATTTGAGTTATTTGTGTTTTTCGCTTTTTTATGAAGAGACTATTCTCTTGATAAGTTTGGATATGAAGAAAGAATCACTTGAAGGTAGTAGAGCAGACCTCGCTTCTTACCTTGCTGTGCTATGTGGCTCGAAACAATGTTCTTTGAGCCCCACCAACCCCTCCCTTGAGGTGACATACCGCCAATGCGCAGATAGCTTTCATTTAATGTTGTTACCAAGGGGGAGAGGGCGAGACAACGCGTGAGGCGAGATAAAAAACTGACTTCCATCTGTTTTCCTTTCTTTCAGATATAGCAAATAAATTATTTTTAGGAATATTTACCATTGAAATGATAGTCAAGATGTACTGTTTAGGATTTCACGGCTACTTCGCATCGCTTTTTAACAGATTCGATTGCCTGGTAAGTTTTAAGAATAACAGATAATTAAAATAAATTTCAAATTTTCGTAAAAAAACTTATAAAAGACGGAAATGTTTCAGCATGACTCATGCCATTATCAGTTTAATGTGTTGTACCACTGACTGTTTTTTTACGCGTTTCATGCAAAGACGTTATCAATTTAAATCGAATTACAATTTATAAATGTTTATAAGCCATTTATAAAATGTTCAGGGAACTGCGCGCGCCGTGATTAGTCAGAACGAGTTCATTATATTTCCATAAAGCACGCGCCTTACGTCACACGAGTGCACTGTTGAGATATAATACACGCAGCCTACGTCATCGGTACTAGCGCGCGCAATTCACGATACATTTTATAAAAGAAATTAAAAAAACTTGTTCCTCGAGCATTGCTGAGTTATATAAGCACGCGGGTTTTTTTAAGAACACTCGAGAAGTGCAAGAAGCACTCGCCTTCGGCTCTTGCTCTCCGCACTTCTCTCTTGTTCTTAAAAATTCCCGCGTGCTTATAGAACTCAACAATGTACTCGGCGCGTTTTTTGTTTCCTTACTAAACGTCGTCTGTTGCGTCGTCTGTGATCTATTATTGAATAGAGGCACACAAACATAGGAACTATTTCTTTAATTAATTTAGAGTTTTTATATCGATTTTAGGTGACTTTTCTAACTTTTTTTCCCCCCAAGGTTGTAATTAGTAGTTTGTTAGAGTTGGCAATCACAGAAGCGTTGAAGCAGCCCCCTATTGGAATCAGTGTACTTCGATGTATTCGTTTACTTAGGATTTTCAAAGTAACCAGGTAAGGAACCCAACACTCCACACACAAGAGTGATGAACATGAAAATTCTCCTCACAATGTCGATACATTTTCCAGCAAATAAGTGAGGAGAATAGGTTCACATATGAAATGGAGGGTAGAATCTTTGTATGGTAGCAAACGTTGTTAATTATAAAATAATTCAAATAGTACGCGCGCTTTGATTGGCCATAAAACCATTTTACATGAGCGTATGTAAACACGGTTTTCGTTCCTCTTTCATTAGTGATTTACAAGAGAAATGTGAAATGGTTTTCGTGTTTACATAGCCTGATGTAAACACTTGGGAGGTTGGGAGAACACTCGATAAGCTGGAAACCACTCCGCTTCGCGTCGTGGTTTCCAGCTTATCTCGTGTTCTCCCAACCTCCCAAGTGTCTACATCAGGCTATGTAAACACGGAAACCATTTTACATTTCTTCACTATAACTCAATGAGATTATTAACTGGGGGAGAATTACCAATGAGATCTTGAGAGTGACAGAATTATGCGCAATAGTAGGAGATAGGGTGCAGGACATTTTTAGTGGCAATTTATCATCCGTGACAACCCTGTTTTCCGACGATAAGAATGCATAGTATTTTGCAATAGAATTCAGTTCCTGTAAATACGTGCAGCATGGTGCGATAACAAGATGGCCCCAGTTGACTACGTCTTATCGTTGGCGCTGTTCTTCTGGTGTACACTTAACCCTTTAGAGCCTAAAAGTGACCAGCATTAAAATGTTATCTCTCCTAACAGTAATACTGCTGAATCATTTATTAAGATCACAAGAATTAAGGAAATGATCGCCAACTTATGAATCTTAGATTGTTAAACCGACTCTTCTTGTCTGTATCCAAAGAAATATGAAGAAAAGAGAATGGAGAATCTGTGTACTGATGTTAGGGTGTAAAGGTTAAGGGGGTAGTCCCGGAAATCAGCTTGTCGGTCAGACGTGGTTATTATCGTTGGAGACGCGGTGGCTTAACGAATAGCGCACTGACTCCAGGTCGAGAGGACTGGCTTCGAGACTTGGCCGAGTCATCTTGTATTGTAAGGCATGACGTGCGTGACTCGTTGTTTTTCCTTCTGATTCAGATACTGGAGCTCACTTAGCAACTTAGTGGCGTCACTGTTGAATAGTATGAGGTCTATAGCTGGTCTTCTGTTGCTGCTTTCACTATTTATGCTCATTTGCTCACTGCTTGGGATGCAGATCTTTGGTGGAAAGTAAGTAAAGATTTTTTTTATGTGCAGGTTCTCGCTCAAATGATTACGTTTCCAACTCTAGTTTCTCTCGTTTCTTTTCGGTACTTCCAGAGTGCGGTTGTACTCACCTCTAAGTTTATCTGACCTTCTCTCTGTTTATTTCTCTGTTCGTACATTCTGTCTGTCTGTCCATCCGTTCGTACTAACGCATTTGAGCTATTACCAACCGCTGCAGAATATTTAGTGTAAACGCCTCGGTCTAAAATTGTGCCTTTTTCTACATTTCTTTTCTCTCTCTCTCTTTTTCCCTGTGAAGATTCAATTTAGGCGATGACGAAATTCCTCGCAGTAACTTCGACTCCTTTTGGAGAGCTCTTATTACAGTTTTCCAGGTAAGATTAGTGAATTGTTGCTATTTTCTGCTGCTCAACACGTTAGAATAAGTAAAACATAATCCTTTATTATTTGTTTTTGAATATTATGTAAACAGATTCTCACAGGCGAGGACTGGAACGCTGTAATGTATGACGGCATCCGTGCGTGGGGTGGTATTGGTGAAGGAGGTTCAGCGATTGCCATCTTGTACTTCATATTCCTCGTTGTCGTTGGCAACTGTATCCTTCTAAATCTCTATGTTCTTTGTCCTCTTTAATTATTTTTTTGTAATAAGTGGGAAGGTCAGGAGAGAGATACTTCTTCGCACAAAGGAGTGCGTTGCTCGCCGTCTCGTGCAATAACTTATCACCAGGCTCTCATCGCTCGAGCGTTTCCTCGCCCGCGAGGAAGTTTTGGAAACGCCTTGAGTAAAGCGAGTCAGTGAAAGATCTGCAAGGGATTTGGCACTAGTAACTATCAAGTTGTCAAAATATTGACCACCACTAAGAGCCTGGAATCGGAAAAACAATGACATACTCCCAGACCCTTTCAACAAGGATCCGCTCCTAGGCCCTTATATTGAGGGTACGCTCTCAGGCCACTCGCTCAGGAGGTCAAGTTATTTCTTGAAGACAGCACTCCTATCAATTTTTCTTTCTCCTGGTTGAGTAGTTTTGCACTATTTTCTATTCTTACTCTGGGGTGAAGCAAAGTTGTTGTTGTTGCTGATTGAAAATCTGTTTTTAGGGCAAAGCTACCCTTTTTATGATTTACAACGTATCATTTAATTAAAAGTTTCTTCTAAGGTAGCACAAGGAATTTATGAGTTAACACGTGGAATGACTCGTGGAATTCCCTCAAGCATTCCATCATGCTTGGAAGATCTTTTTGTCCGTTTCCATTTGCCTTGATTTACCATTAGTTAAGCGCATATTTAGTAGCCTTTTTATCATGATATGTTTTTGTGTGAAGTCTTTGACTGTTAAGGTTCAAAATTGTTCTTCAATACTGTTGAGGCCATTTCCTAGACCTAACGCCTCCGCTCACCAGAAAATAATTATTTATTGTGCGGTTTCGCGCGAATATTTCTACAAATTTTACTTTGCTGAAATTAGAAACATCGTTTTTGTTTTGTTATGGCTTGCGAGATTCCTTGACATTTATTAGACATCCTTTTGAATGTCTTCTTGGCCATTGCCGTCGACAATCTTGCCGACGCTGAAAACTTGACAGAAATGGAAGAGGAGAAGAAAAAGAGGAAGGAGAAAGCGAGAGAAAAGGAAGCCTTAAAGATGAAGGGTTCCTTGGATTCACAAAGCAAGCTTGACGCGGATGGTGCTGTCGTGCCCAATCACAGTTCAGCGTCACGGTCAAATGTGTAAGAGCCAACTTCTTGTATGCGGGGACTGGGTAGAGAATCAACAGAGATCACAGTATCTGTCAAAAGTGTTGCAAGGCGACATAACATGTGTTGTGACCTGATAAACATGTGACAACTGTTTGACACCCAAATAATTTTCTGCAGACGAGAAGTGTGCAACGTTTCACCATATCGAAATAAATCTTTTTCTTCTTCTTTCCTAGAACACTTGACAAGTCAACACAAGAACTTCATTCCACGGGAACTCTCAATGGAAATGGTGTTGCAAGAGTAAGTTTAACTTTCGATGGAAAATTGTTGGGTATTGTGGCTCACTTCTTTGACCTAAGATTGCATCGCGTGACTATACTCACGTTATATTGCGTGACCTTCTCTTTGAGTAAACTGTATTACTTAGTCATGGTCACGTAATCTTGCGTGTGACAGAATTTTCTCTTTCCCCCTTAGTGATCGATAGAATCGGTCTACTAGTAGGTTAACGATAGTAAACTCGATCATTCCACGTATGGTTTGTAAAGAAAGGAACCATTAGCATTAAATTGGCTTCGTTGGATAGCGCCTACTTGTTGCATTTATGCCCATCAATTCAACTCTGAAAATTTGTGTAAAAAATGAAAACTTTTGCAACTGCTCTAAAGAGAAAACATTTTCAAAATGTTTTAATTCTAGTATGGACAATTTTAACGAAGAGGTCTGATCATAACGGTAACGCATTGAGTGTCACAGTCCAAATTAGAGTATTGTTCCACGATAAAAAGTCTGGGTTCGGGCTTTTTTTTTGGTTAGTCATATGTACGAACACCACGTTTGTTTCTTTCTTCCATCTTTTGTTTTTCTCCGACCAGTCTACTTGTTCAAAACCTGACATGGTTTTAATTGTTTTCTTTCATCATTGCTAAGAGTTTAAATGCGACTTAAGGTATTTTAACTGGGCCAAAGTTATAGTTGAGAGAGTCACATGAGAACCTCCCTTTTTAACTTCTCCTCGCAGACAGCATCAAACGACGACGTCGAAGCCCAATCTACCGATATTTCCGTGATTGGAGGATCAAAATCTGCCGTCAATAGTAAGTCTTGCTTCTCTTATCGTTTTTGTTCTCGTTTCTCTCGAGCGTCAGTTGTTATTTTAGAGCGCATTTCGTTCAAGTGTCGTAAGATGAAAGAGCCAATTCACAGCGAATGAAAATAACGCAAGGAACCAATAAGAACTCAAAGTAAAAACAAGTCAGTTGTCTTGAACGCGGGAAAACGCAGATGGTAAAGGTGCGAGTCGCCTCTGATTGGTTGAAAGAGTGGCGTAAGTTTAATCGACCGATTACAAAGCGGATCAAAACAAAACCCACGGAATCTCAAATTGCTTTGGACTCTGCTTTGAAAATTGCTCTAAATGTCATCATTTTGTCTTTTTTTTTTTCTTTTTGGTTTAGACAACAACGGGAGTAGTAGTGCTACTTCAAGTGAGGATATCGACAGGGCACCAATGCCCCCAGTGTCATCTTTATTCATTTTCTCCCCAACCAACATGTAAGTATCAACCCTTTGATTCCTAAGAATGACCAGCATCTAATTTATCCTTACAATATCACCCCTGAATCGAACATTAAGGTCATGAGAATAAAGGAAATGATCACCAACTGAAAAGGCTCTTGATTGTTAAACAAATTCTCCCTGTCAGCACCTCAAGAAATGTGTGGAGAATATTATGGAGAATATTCATACTTAACTCAGGGTGTAAATTTTGACTTCGACTTTTGACCATCCACCTTTGACTTCTCACTTCTGACTTTTGACTAACGACTTTTGACGTTTGACCTTGACTATTGACTCTAAACTTTGACGTTGACTTTGGACTTGGGACCTTGAATTTCGACTTTTAACCCCGACTTTTGAATTAACATTCGACTCCGGTTACTTTCATTGTGATGATCATCACTAACTAACACGAGAATTATTCTTTCTTTTTCTTGTCAGATTCCGCGTCGTTTGCTACAAGATCGCCACCAACACATACTTTGTTAATTTTATTTTATGCCTCATTATTGTGAGCAGTATTCTGCTGGCGGCTGAGGATCCACTCAACGCTAGCGCAAAGAGAAATCAGGTACGGTGTCAGAAAAGCAGATGACGTAGGAGAATGTGAATAGAGCGGTGCACTTGCAACCCCAAGATCCTTGGTGTGAGTCTAAGATCGGACTCCCTCATTGCCGAGTGGTTTGCCTCTTACCAGCTGAGATTTTCAACCATTTCTTTCTTCATTTTAATGGTTTGCCTGGCTTAGCCTCACTGGTATATGTTCTATAAACATTTCCTTGTGAAACCAAAATCATATATTTGATGAACAATGTCTCTAAAGACTCCTTTCAGGTGAACTTTGGGGAAGTGGATAAGCTTTTGTTACTCAGGGTTCTTTTCTTTAGGATGGGCCTCCGCTATAATATTATTTGTCTTAATCTAATATTTATTTAACTGAAATCACCAATAAGCTCGTCCGGTTATATGCAGCTTCATTCCTACTGACGCTTTTAAAATGTCCTTTTTTTTCCTTTTCCTTGCAGGTTCTCAACTATTTCGATTATTTCTTTACATCCGTGTTCACTTTGGAGATTCTTATCAAGGTAATCGTGACACAATTTCATTGAGATCGCCAAATGTCATTTTGATACATTATTTCCGCGATGTAAAGTCGCGTAGTTTTTCACGGTTTGTCCTGAAATAGTGTGTAAGTCCAAATTATCAGAGTTTCTTAAAAATGGACCAAACGGGAGGACATTTTTGTGTCGAGAATAAAATTTTTAACCAAAGGTGGGGTTTCATTTTTTCCTTCTTTCAGTTTGTGTCCTATGGACTTATCCTTCACAAGGGATCTTTCTGCCGCAGTGCGTTCAATCTATTGGATTTACTAGTCGTATCTGTTTCTGTAATCTCAATAAGCCTTAAGTAAGTGTTGGTAAACATCCTATTTTGATTTAGCCCCGGTCATCAGCTTAAGATCATAATGTAGTGGGAACGCTTGAGTGCTGGTTATCATTAATTGAAAGGTAGACTTTGGAGTATAGGTTTCGAGAGTAGAAATCACCCATGAGGTACTTAAGTATTAAGTATTAAATACGCTTACTCCGTGGGATTGCTTTTTTAAGCAGCGTTTTTCTAGAGATGTAGACAGTCATGATCTGTGAAATAGTCGTCGACGAGTTTGATTGAGCGGTTGGGTGAACCAAAGGAAATTTTTCATTGTTAACCCGCGAACAAGACGCCTATACAGTTAGTAAGATGGTATACTCACTTCTGTGTTCAATGATTTTCCTCAGGGACTCCCAGTTTTCTGTTGTCAGAATTCTCAGGGTTCTCCGAGTGTTAAGACCTTTGAGGGCGATTAACAGAGCAAAAGGACTCAAGGTACGTCTCCCTTTGACTGACTTCAACAAATACGATTGTGTACGTGACTGTCACCTTGCTGATTGAATCTGATTGGTTGAGGAAGTGGCGTGAATTTTCTGGACCAATCGTTTAGCGTAGTAAAGCAAACTAAATCAACCCAGACTTATTAACGACACCCATTTGAAAATTACTCCATAAGAGCTAGTTATCTGAACTAATTCATATAGAAATATAGTGCAGCGAGACGGGAAAATTAAAAATCAGACCTCAGAAGTTGAACAATATTAAATTGTTTTGTGTTTTGTTTTTTTGTTTCCCGCAGCACGTGGTACAGTGTGTCTTTGTAGCCGTGAAAACGATAGGAAACATCATGCTTGTTACCATGCTGTTCCAGTTTTTATTTGCTGTCATCGGTGTTCAGCTATTTAAGGTAAGATCTTAGGGTACTACCA